TGAAAAAAAGAAATATATATATATATATATATATATATATATGAACAATCTTTCTCTTAGCATCAAATGCCTTTGAAGTTTGAAATATCATGTTTGAAGCTTTTAACTATTTTCTCCATGATTTTAAATTTAATATGAACAAGTTTAAATAAATCTCTTGGATTGCTATGCCTAAACTAGAATGCGTTTTTAACTATAGTGGTATTGGGGAAAAAGAAAGGCGTTTTTGACTTTCTACGCTCATTTGGACTGTGGAAACTTTGCAAATTATTTATTATTTTTTTTTATTTTATTAAAACGTGCTTTATACATTTACCTATTTCACAAAATTCTCCCCCATAAGGATAACGGCATAAACATTGAGCTCCATTTCTACCTAGAACGCAGTTTCCGCCATTTCTGCAAGAAACGTTTTCACACGGATCTGAAAAGATAACAGTGGAACATTTATTCTAGCTTGAAAATCATGTTTGTTTTTAACAAAATGTATTTTTCTGATTTATGTGGGAATGTAGCTTTTATTACATTGCCCCTAGTCCTTTATTTTAATAATAAAAAAACCTTCTCGCATGTTTAGTAAGAGATTCGTGGTATAACAGTCTTTTGCAACTGAAACAAAATTCGATCGAACTTGTAGTTTCCACTCGATTTTTCAGCATAAGGGCTCGTTTCCTGACTCACACACACAACTTCACCAGTTCGAACGTTTTTCGTTCACCTGACAACACGACAGCTGGAGCTCGAAGGTTAAGCTCGATTGAACTATTTCTGACTAATCACAAATCAGATGCTCTCCTGCTAAATGGCGGTGATGAAGGGAAATAGGAAGATAAAAACTTGGATACACGTTACAGGAACTCCTAGGTATTTTTTGTAAATAATACGCTGGCAACAATGATATAATAACTTTAAATAAGCGATGCAATTATTTCAAATTACCATCATGCATTTATACAGTAATTTCGGTATTGAAATCCAAAATCGTTTAAATTATCTTCTCTAAATCAAACAAGGTAGGTAGGTACTTTATTTACGTCACACTAGAGCTACTATATGGGCTATTGGCGAATATTGGGAAATATCACTGAGGATGATCAGAAGACATGCCATCCCAATTTTGATCCGCTGCAGAGGGGACGGCTCCCCTGCTTTGGTAGTTCGATGACCTGTGTAGGAAGTCGAGCACTTTATGGTAGAACAGTTTAACGAGGACCAATACCACGCACACCCCGGTTCCTGCGTAGGCTGATCAAAGTGATCAACCACCCGCTAATTTACCGCAGCCAGTAATGCTTGTCCTCGGTGTTCTACTGGAAACCGTGTTTTCACGATCTGCCCACTGCGGGAGCCTAAATTAAACAAGCATTATCAGCTTTATTTTGAAAAACATTTTTTTTATAAGTTGTTAAGACTTGGAAATATTTAAAGAGTAATATTTCAGATGATTACAGACACAAAAATATATGATAAAACAAAGCTAACAGAAGCTAATTTGAAAGTCGTGGTTAAAAATTCTCCCCCAGCCCATAGTTGTGAAAACGCATATGAATTTTTTTCATTAGCGGGGAAAAATACAGTACACGTGACCTGCAGAAAAAGATAAGTTTCTTCGGCGAACAACTTGTTTACCTTGATAGTTATCTAATGCCACAGTTGAATTGAAAAACCGGTTACTTTTGAATAGTGATCGAACGGGTTCAAAGAAATCGAATCGAAGAAGCGTGTTTCAGTTGCATAAGAATGTAAGTAATAACTTCTTCAGGATTCGATAATTTAACTTCCACGGTTTACCAACAATCGCATTCTAAAACTATAATTGGTGTTATATTTTATAAAAAGTTGAGTCTAGTAAATATTTTTACTACCTTTATACCCTGACAACAATCGTTTGTTGGTTAAAAGAAAATTGATTAATTTTCCTAATCTTTTTAAAAACACTATGACAACTGGGAATTCCACAGCTCCTAGCAGGAATTCAAGAGGTTTGTGCTTTGCTGTTAACAAGAATTTCCTCTTCAAAAATGTCAGTTCTACTTTCTTGGGCAGGAGTTTTCTTATCGATATATTTATTACAGTCAATGTGAATAGTCAGTTATTATAAATACTAACCAGCAATTGTTAATAATAACCAAACAGGTCCGTTAAAATAAATAATTCAAGCAAATTCATCCCATTAATTGATTATTATCTATTAATAATAACCAATGAAGTTTGGTCAATGTCATTCTTTCGCGTTTTTATAGGGGATACTTCCGTATCGTGATCTAGCACTAAAACTACAATCGCCAAGATGCCAAACTGATTTTAAACAGGGTTTTTTTCAAGTCAATGCTACTTGTGGACCTTTTCGGCAAACAAATTGATAATTCTGGAAAGTTCAAGCTTCGGAGCGACAGAAATCATATTTACGTAGTTACACCCATGTGCAACTGAAACGTGCGTCTTCCATTCGATTTCATCGAACCCGTCCGATCGCTATTCGAAAGTGAAAGGAAAGTGATTTTCTGTTTATAATGATTACTTTTAATATTAAAATCAAAGATTTTAGAGAAGTAACTTTTGTCTCAGTTTAAACTTGTTTTAAAATGATTATATTTACTCTTGGAGCGTTTGAGGTAAATATCTAACCCTAACTTATCGTGCAGGTTACGTCTTAAAAGAGTATCTTAAAACCTTCGTTTGGCGTTAGAAAGAATATTTGTAATCCCTTTTTAACCACTTAAAATACACTACAGCCACTGTTACGTGTAGTAGGATTTCCACCGGATTNAGGGAGAAATTCTTACAAAAATTAAGCACAGATATTAATATGCGTTACTATCATGGTTGTCAACTTAAGTTTTTCTCAAATACAACGTATTTGTTTGCTTAAAATTGAAGTTTTAATTCCATTATAATACCACTGGGAAAAATGATAATGGAAGGGATTAAAAGTTGGCAGGTATGCTATATTTACTCTTGGATCGTATGAGGTAAATATCTAACCCTAACTTATCGTGCAGGTTACGCCTTAAAAGAGTATCTTAAAGCCTTCGTTTGGCGTTAGAAAGAATATTTGTAATCCCTTTTTAACCACTTAAAATACACTACAGCCACTGTTACGTGTAGTAGGATTTCCACCAGATTTAGTAGCATTTAAAAAATGCGTAAATAAGAAATATAATTTAGCTAGTGGGAATGTTTTTTTCAAAAACGTAACTTTGTCAGAGTTACTTTAATTTTCTTTGTAACCATATTTCCAAGCCCGTAAAGAGCAGAGAGGTAACTGTAGAGGCTGTTGGTTACGCCAGCNCATAAATAATTTAGCTGGTGGGAATGTTCTTTTCAAAAACGTAACTTTGTCTGAGTTACTTTATTGACGTATTTTCTTTACAATTTAACATAAAGAAATCATTAAAAATATTGAGATAATTTTCTTTGTAACCATATTTCCAAACCCGTAAAGAGTATAGAGGTAACTCCTACATTCAGTTTAAATCTTACATGTTTAGATAATAAGTGGTTCATATGTTTACCTATTTCGCAAAATTTTCCCTCATAAGGAAAACGGCATAGACATTGAGCGCCACTCTTATTGTTTATGCACATTCCACCATTTCTGCAGTCAATATTTCTACAATGATCTATATCTGAAAAAAAAAAAAACATTTGCGTGTTCATTATTTTCCAAACATTATAACATTGAACATTAAACCCTTTTCCAAGGAACCGTAGTATATTCATAAGTAAGATGGAATAAGTAATTTCAAGTTATAAACTTTAGTGTTTTAGTCTTTTGGAGATTCGTTTCCAGGATAGAAGTGAAGGGAAGTCAAGTAATAAGCAGTTAATCAATGTGACGTAAGACATCGTGTTCTATAAAAGAACGAAAGATTCTTTTTTCATTAGGTGGATGAACAGCCGGCCCTTCATTTGAGTCTCTTGCCAATGACCTGATATCCGTCATAGGATTAAGATTGTGGATGATGATGATGATTCTTTATATATTTGTTCAACAATAAGATTTTCAGATTTAAGTTAAACATTTAAAGTATTAATAAACGTGTTTTCCAGTTTACTTGTGTTATCAATTTTTTTTTGCGTACTCTGCTTTGTGAGTTAAACCCACAGAAGGGATTAAATATTGTTCTTTTATTTAAATAACAGCCCTTTTTGGGCCAGAGCCCTCCCTGGAACTTTCCTCTATTCTGCTCCTTTTCTTGCGATTGTTTTCTAGTTAGTAATTCTTAGAATATTAAAATCATCTTTCATACAGTCAAACTATTTGATCTTAGGCATACCTCTATCTCTCGTTTCCATTGGTAACTTCCTGATTTCACAATATTTTCCTTCATATGGGTAATGACATACACATTGGGCACCATTTCTACCGACAACGCACATTCCGCCATTTCTACAAGGCAGTCCTGCGCATGGATCTGAAAAGATAATATTGGAACAATTAGTATTTTCAGAATGTTTTACATAATAAAAACGAACATTAAACAATATTCCAAGGAATTATAATATATTCACATGTCAGACGGTAAGAAGTAAAGCTTGCTTAATTCACGTTTTTTGAAAGAAAAGGTTGCATGTTGTAGATACTGTTTTAACGTTTTTTAGTAATAAGTTTCGAATTTAAGTATTTTCACTACATAATAACTAAAAAAGTTGGTTGGAAATATATAAACAATCAAGAAATTTTTTTTGCCTTTTTTCACGTTTAAAGCCCAAAGGAGCAGATGGAATTCTCATATTCATTTAAAACCTTATCAGTTTCATTAAAACGAGACTGTATATTTACCTCTTTCGCAATATGTTCCCTCATAAGGGGGACGGCACATACATTGAGCACCAGTTCTACCTACTACGCACATTCCGCCATTTCTACAAGGCAGTGGTGCACACGGATCTGAAAAGATAATATTGGAACATTTATTATTTTTAGAGTGTTTTACATCATAAAAATGAGCATTAAACATTATTCCAAGAAACCGTAATATATTCACATGTTAGACGGAAAGTAGTAAATCTTGTTTAATACATGCTTTTTGAATGAAAAAAATCAGGTAAAATTTTTAAAATACCATTTTAACGTTTTTTAGTAAGAAATTTCCTAATGATATATTTGCTTTACATTATCTGTCTGTCTGTCTGCTTTATTGTCTGTCTGTCTGTGTTTCCGAATTCATTCATTCCAAAAGTTTTCGAATTCATACATTTTATTTCTTTCATTTGAAAAATATATTTTTGTTTTAAATTTTATAATTTTAATATTTCTTATTTGTTTCATTTTTATTGGTCCTTTTATTATTTAAAATACATAGGTGAATTTTCGGTTTAGCCAATTTGCGACCACTGTTAACTTTTACATTTCTTTTTGTTTGTGAGAGAGAATATTTGCAAAAATACACCGCCTAAACGAATCGCTCTTAATAGATCGACATGTCAAAGTGCTCAAAAAGAGAACTACCCGTGTTTCAGAAACTTCGGAGCAACGGGAAAAAGACTTGAAACTAATCGAGAACACAATTTTTTTGCCTGTTCATTAGAAACGCCTGAGAAACAGGAAAGAAGACTGTTAACAAATCAACTGCGCACTACGCAAGCCCATTCGTCGGAAATATCAGAGCAACGGGAAGCAAGAATGAAAACTGAACGAGAACTCACTGCTCAAGCCCGTTCGTTGGAAACATCAGAGTAACGGGAAGCAAGAATGAAAACTGAACGAGAACTCACTGCTCAAGCCTGTTCGTTGGAATCATCAGAGTAACGGGAAGCAAGAATTAGAACCGATCGAGAACGCATTACTCCTGCCTGTTCGTCGAAAACATCAGAGCAACGGGAAGCAAGAGTGAAAACCGATCGAGAACGCACTTCTCAAGCCCATTCGTCGGAAACATCAGAGCAACGGGAAGCCAGTTGTAGGGTTGTAGTTCATTTACGTTGCACTAGAGCTGCAAAATGGGCTATTGGCGACGGTCCGGGAAAATTCCCTGAGGATGATCCGAAGACATGCCACCACAATTTTGATCCTCTGAAGAGGGGATGGCACCCCCGATCCGGATATCCGACGACCTGCAAGCGAAGTCGAGCACTTTACGGTAAAACAGTTTAACGAGGACCAATACCGCACACCCTTGGTCCCTACGCAGACTAATTCAAGTGGTAACCAACCCGCACACTGACTGCAACCAGGGATGCTTGACTTCGGTGATCTGCTGGGAACCGTGTCTTAACGATCAATCCACTGCGAGACAAACGGAAAGCAAGAATGAAAACCAATGAAGAACGCACTTCGCTATTCATATGCCGCCAATACTCTGATTTAAAATCTTAGTGCACTTCACTATGATCCGACAACTAACTATAATCTTGAACCACGCGTCATCATCGAAAAAATGGATAAATTATGTATGTTTTGTAGTGCTCTCAAATTTAAGAATGAAACAGCTGGAATTTGCTGTTCTGGAGGCAAAGTGAAACTACCAAATTTAACGTCACGTGTCGAGCCATTATCAACGTTCTTATCAGATCAAACAAACCAGTCGAAATTTTTTTTGGCGAATATATTCCGGTACAATTCGTGTTTCTAAATGACTTCATTACAGGCCAACATTCAAAGCGCAAGGGCAAATTTATCATCGTGCAGGAACACTTCTTCCATTGCCTGGCGCAGATCATAAACTTCTACAGATTCATTTCATGGGTAACACAAATGATCTAGTCAATCAACGTTGTCAGTTAAACAATGGCACTAAACGAGATTTTGTTACCGCATTACAAAACTTTTTCGATCAACATAATCAGTCAATTAGGCTGTTCAGAACTGCCCTTGACAAAATGCCATCCGATAATTACAAAGTCGTTATTAGAGCTGACAAAACACCTGCAGGACACCACAAAGGAAATTACAATGCATCAACATTGAATGAGGTGGCTATTGTTATAGTTGGCGAAGAATTTACCTCCCGCGATATAGTTTGTTGCTGGTTCGCATAAGCGATAAGAAAGCAAGAAATACTTTAGTTGTAATAAATTGGCAACATAATATAAAAAAAATATAGAACAAACAATCGATAAGAGAAAAAGTAAAACGATGTCCAAAATTAGTTATTTTTTCTATGCTTCTTCCTATGTAAAATGTCCTCGTAATGTAAATAAGTGTGCTGTTGTCAAAAATAACCTGTTTCTTCTTCTTGTGAGTCGTAGTTGAATATTGGTATAAAATTCAAAGTTCGAATTCGCAACATTAAGTGGCGTCCGAGTGATATTCAAGAGCCGAGCATAAAAAGGAAAGGACAAAAGAAACGAAGGTAAGTGAAACTATCAGAATTAAATTAATATTTCATTTCATGAATGGAAGAATTGAAAAATAAAAGAAAGCCATTGCGACAAGGATTTACTTTAACTGTCAATAATTCAGAAACAGAGTTATCGAATACGGATTTTGGGAAAAATATACTTGAGGGTGCCCCTTGGCGAAATTGGAGACTTATGTTTGGCTCCATACTTGTTTGCCCAGAACGCCGTGGTAACCCACAAACAGGACATTTATATCTATTACTAATTAAACCTTCATTCATACACCAGTCAATCACTGTTTTTTTTTTCATTGTTATTAAAATCGTACAGAAACTTAAGATTTATCTTATTGACAGTATTCATTTTTAGTATCTGAAGCAAAAATAACCTTACCAGCCGGTATCCAAAGTAGAACTAACGGATCTCTGAAATTACATTTAAAAATTCATTTAAAAACAACGCTAAACTCTAAACTAATCAGAATCAAGATTGGTTTTCAACATCGCCCAGCTTGGCGATCAATCGCGATCACAACTTGGCGGGGGCACCCTCAA